GCCAGCTCTTGACACATCACACATGCATGGGGGGGACATGTACCCCAGATCTGTGCGCAGGGTGAGGGTGGGGTGCCACCACGGGCTGAGGCTGGGGGTGGAACCAAACTCTTCCTGCTAGGTGGGCTGGGCCAGGGCTGTGCTCACAGCCGGTACCAGCAGCTCTGGCAAAGCAGGGCTACGGCAAAATAGCACCCCCGCTCAGTGCCGGTGCTGCCCCTGAGTCCTCAGCGGCAGCCCACCCATGTCCCCCAGTCGAGTCACTCATGGCTCATCCCGCACTCCCCCACTCCAGCTGAGCAGCTCCAGCCCCAGCCCTAGGCCCACTCCCTCCCTCACCACAGAGGCCCTGACACTGAAATGTGGGGGGAAGCGGGCACACCAGAAGGGAGGAATAGGCTGCAATTGGACCTAGACAAGTTACAGGGGTGGGCGGATGAGAACAGGATGGGTTTCAACACTGACAAGTGCAAGGTACTGCACCTGGGGAGGAAGAACCGGCAACATACCTACAGGCTGAGGAACTCCCTTCTCGTCAGTGCAGAGACAGAAAAGAATCTTGGAGTTATTACTGATGCCAAAATGAACATGGGCTGACAGTGTGGGAACGTGGTCAGGAAGGCCAACCGTACCTTGTCATGCATCCACAGATGCATCTCAAGCAGGTCCAAGGAGGTGATCCTCCCCCTCAGTGCGACACTGGTCAGGCCGCAGTTGGAGTACTGTGTCCAGTTCTGGGCGCCGCACTTCAGGAGGGATGTGGACAACATGGAGAGGGTCCAGAGGGGGGCCACTCACATGATCAGGGGGCAGCAGGGCAGGCCCTATGAGGACAGGGTAAGAGACCTGAACCTGTTCAGCCTCCATAAGAGAAGGCTGAGGGGGGATCTAGTGGCCGTTTACAAACTAATCAGAGGGGACCAGCAGGCATTGGGGGAGTCCCTGTTCCCCCGAGCACTACCAGGAGTGACTAGAAATAATGGTCACAAGCTGGCAGAGGGTAGATTCAGATTAGACATCAGAAGGTGCTACTTCACTGTCAGGGTGGCTAGGATCTGGAACCAACTTCCAAGAGAAGTGGTGCTGGCTCCTACCCCGTGGATCTTTAAGAGGAGGCTAGATGAACACCTTGCTGGGGTCCTTTGACCCCAGTACTCTTTCCTGCCATGGTAGGGGGTCAGACTTGATGATCTGCTCAGGTCCCTTCCGACCCTATCAACTATGAAACTATGATATGCCCCCCTCATGCCGCTCCCCCCCACAAGAGACTTACCAGCTGGACTCTGCTCTCCAAGCTGCCAGGCTAGCTGCATGCATAATGCAGCTATACCCATGCACATGGCATTTATTGGTGACATTATTGGGCACATCAGGGAAAAAAAGCTGATTGCCAATTATATCAATTTTTCTTTTATTAACGCTGATACAGTGTGGACTGATGCATTGGTGCACATCTAGCCACAAACTTAGTTTTGCTATAGGCAACAAAAAAAATTCTCAAACGTGTTCTAAGAAGGTCTCAGATCTCCAATACATAGAAAAGGGATATTTTTTATTAAGATGCCACTAAGTTGGCACTGGGTGGAATTACAAACTGTCCTCCTGCCTCTCCAAGATAGTCTTTGGGGACAATCCTGTCCTGGTTTGCAGACAGCCTTGCAACCTCAAATGGTGTCTCAAACAACAGACAAATTAACTCCCATCTTCACCAAGACCTACCCACAGAAGCCATGTTGGCTGTCTCAGAAGATTGCTTTCCATTAGCCTGTTGTTGATGGGTTCTTTGATTATTTTTTTCCTAATATCTTTCCAGGGATTGAGGTCGAACTGATTGGCCTGTAGTCCCTGGATCTTCCTTCTTTCCTTTCTTGAGGATAGGCACCATATTGACCCTCTTCCAATATTCCGGAACCTCTCCCAATTAAGATTAATACACACACACACACTTTATTTACTCCATAAAGGTGCCTATCTACCCTGCCTTCTGAATAACTTCCAACTAACATGGCTAACTATCTCTCTTTAATGCTGACATTGCAATATATGAAACCACTTATTCATGATACGGACAAAAACAATGCTGTAGGACAAATCCTGTCTACAAAGACTTGGTAAACACTCATCACCAAACACCAGTTCATTCAGAACCATCAGTCTTGATACCAGTTCAGTTATTGTTGCTTCCAACACCAGTAACAACTGCAACAGGCCTCAAGATAGTGACAGGAATAGTGCATTTGGCTGTGGTCCCAGCAGTATTTTTAGACGTGTTGCTTACCTCCATAGCAGGATTTTTTTTAATTAGGTTGGAGCGTCACTTCTCTCAAACATCTGTATTAACTCAGGTTCCAATTCAAGGAGTGTGGTGATTTTTTTATTTTTTATTTTGTGTTAATCTAATAAAATCTTCAATCTCTGTTTTCATTGCATTAGCTCTTAGCATAGATTCTTCTCTAAAAGAATTCTCTTTATCTGCTACTCCCAGAGATAGGTCTTGCTACTTCCAGCAGGAACTGCTCTCTTTCTTTGGCATGTTTTTTACTTGACAGACCTGGCAATAAGGGCAGAGAGATTATGCCAGTCAACATCCAGGAGATGTCTACCAGGATCTGGATGTACAACCTGTGCAGAAAAATCTTTTTCTGAGGTTATTCAAGGATAGGAAATTACCAGACACAAGTATTTTGCCCCCCAAATACTTACTACATGCTACAAGTTAAAGCAGCTCAGCAATCTTAATTTTAAAGACAGAAATCAACATCAACAGGAGAAAATTAACAACAATATCGTGGCCATCGATTACTCCCAAGTGACCCACCCTGTTCAATGTGTTCATCACTGACTTGGATGAGGGCGTGGACAACACTCTGTCAAAATTTGCAGATTATACCAAATTATGAGGTAAAGTTAACACACCAGAGGATAGGGAATGAATCCAGGCGGATCTGGACAGGTTGGAAAGGTGGGCGGAACAGAATAGGATGCAGTTCAATAAGGACAAATACAAGGTGCTGCATCTAGGAAGAAGGAATCACCAGCAAATTTACAGGCTGGGGGAGGACCATCTCAGCAGCGCAGCAGCAGAAATTGATCTTGGAGTCATTGTTGACACCAAGATGATCATGAGTCATCAATGTGGCAAAGCAATCAGTAAAGCCAACCGCACTTTATCATGCATTAGCACGGGGGTGTCCAACCTTTTTGAATGTAGGGCCGGATCATGAACTTTTTATCATCCAGCAGGCCGGCGAGCCATATTCAAAGACCTCACAGGAAGTGGTATCACATCAGGAAGTGATGTCACGTGACCTTTGACACCCA